ATATTACCTATACCGTTATAACTTACCATGCTGAACCACAGGTTCATTAATGGGTTCACCAGCAATTAACACAAAGTGAGACTCTTCAGCTGCCTAGAAATAATAATGAAGGGATATAAAGAGACTGAATTTACAGTAGAATTTACTGAATTCATACAAAAACTACCAGAGTAGCTTCATAGGAATAGCAGGAGGGGGAAAAAACCTTGTTTTCCACTCTGACGCATTCACCATCTGCCAAAACCACTGTGTGGTGTGGCTCAACTGTCTTCAGATCATCGTCTGGGCCTGAGGGAAATTCAAATAGATAGAACGAATTTCACAATCCTATACAAACGACATTTCTACAACCTGGAAATCATCAAAATCAACCTGATAAATCAACATATCAAGCACTGCTTTGGCAATCTCATTTCTCAACGAGAGAGTTTAGAGTTGCCGTTGGCACAAGATCATAGGAATAGTCTAAATGTCTGTCAGAAGTCCAAGAGAGAGAGAGGAAGTGAAAAATAATCGTAAAGCACCTGCTCGAATTTCAAGGACAGAAAGCTGCTAGTGGTTTTGCCTGCAGGAAGACAAAGTTTCTTTTTAATACGGTCTTCATTTGAACTCACCAGTGCATAAAGAACCTGCGAGGGTGTAGATGAAAGCTGTCCAGCCTGAGAAAGGAATACAACAATTAAAACATTGGAACCATAATTATAAAATAATAATAATTGTAGGGTTAATGCAGCTAAATTGGGCCTCATTTGAGTGACTTAGCATGAATCGACCCTGTATGTTAATATACAATGGAACCAAAAGTCTGAGACCACCCTTAAAACATAAGATTTAAACTCCCATTTACACCTAATAATAATAATAATATTATATATATACTGTATATATATACACATATTATTAATTTTTATATATAAATATTTATTCATTCCATTACAGAACATTATACCATATTATATCATATTAATATTCTGCATTAGAAGCAAGAGATTTCAGGAAGTCATATAGTACCACTCAAACTTTTTCTTATCTTGATGTGATTGTATTGACCATTCTGAGGCTGCATTTGGACACACAGAACCAGGACCAAAAAGCCTGACTCAACCTCTCTAATCTGCGGTCAGTTTCTGATATTGATGTACAAAAAAGCTTGATACTCATGCCAAAAGGCTACACTATACCTTTAAGAGCACTTTAAAACTCTGTACCATTTATACAAGCACAATTCATGGGCACTCAACTTTTTTTTAATATCTTGCCTTCAAAACCTCTCAAGATGAGCCAAAAGAAGAGACACTGCTTTAGTGACTCAATGGATGAACTATGACTTTATCCACTATTTGAGTTAAAATAACACAGTACTATCTTTTCCCAGAATTGTGTGTAAGGTATGATGTTTCACAGTCATGCATTTAATGAGCAAAATAAAGACTTACTCAAAATTTGTTTGCCTTAACTAGGAAAAATGCCATGTAAACCACGTTTATAATGTTTGTAAGTACTGTACAGTAACTTTGGGATTAATGGAAAATAATAATAATTAAATAATCATCAAGACATCTGATAATAATTTTTTTACCTTTAGGAATAGGCTGCAAATGCTTTGCACCTTCCTTCAGCACAAAGTCGAGGTACATGGTTGGAGTTCTCGTGTAAACCTTTGACTGGCAACAGAAAAGGCATGTAAGTACCACAACATAATATTTAATCTGGAAAAAATTATGGTTGACAGCAGAAGACTACTGTGAAAACAACATTTTATGTTCTTTATTCATAACATATCCATTTTTACCAGATCTTGTCATTGCTAAAAGACAAAAAACAAGGGAAATTGTTCAATATTGTTTAAATTATGAGCTCAAACAGATGTAAAAACATTGTGTGTGAGTTCCAGTGCATATCTGGTTCCAGTAAGCCCAAGTATTTGGCTGACCCACATTTAACTTCAATGCTGCATTCACCCCTCTGCCCTAGAGAAACCCTCCATAACCACATTTTACATTTAAAACATTTTACAAAAACCACTTCCAATGAAGCCTGCTCCGAATTTCCTGCTGTTGTCTGAGAGAGGGGGCAGAGGATGCCCTTGCAGCAGCAATTCGCCTGATGGACTCCAGTATCGGATTGTAAATGGGACGTTCTGATTGGATGGAACATTTACAAAGAAGTCGGCCGTTTGGATCAAACATTCGGTTATAGCTGCTCAACATGACTCTAGGATCTTGTATTTTGTATTTCCCGTAAATCATAGATGGGAAAGAGACAGACCGAGGTGTGGGTAATAGTCGTAATGTGTTGATAAATGGATGCACAAATGAACATGTTTGCGAAATTACAGACGATAAACAGATGCAAGTGTCT